TTTTATGTAATTTCTTTAATTTGTTTTTTATTATAATTTAATTTAAGTTTAATAACGAAATAATTTATTTTTGGTTTAATAATATGACATTTTATAAAGAGAATAATTAAGTATTACGTTAGAACTTAATGATAATCCTAATTACTTTTATATTTTTATATTTAAAATGATATGTTTATCATGTATTTGATTATGTTTATCTGCAGTTAGTTACACGAATTCAGATACGAAGCTTTAATAAGTTGTACTTACGCACAATCTACTTGCAATCTTGAGTTTTAAGTAATATGCATTAATAAACAGCACTTTACAAATAAAAAGTGGTTTTTAAGAGTTTTTATCAAATGCTTTATAATATAGCATAGATATTGTATTATTAGATATTTATTTCAATTATATTTTAAAATATTATAATTGATTAATTTTTCAAGATGCTTATTTTGGTCATTTTACATTTTTATCAAATAGTTTTTGTCAAACATGATTTGTTTATTAGTTAGTTTATCAGCTACCACCTAACTTATCAGTCATCACTTAGTTTATCAGCTAACATTAACGTGAAATATCAAAATATTATGAGTATACTATGATTTTCATCCCTATGGTTTGGGAATTATTGCGATTTTTGTCCCTGTGATTTTGAAATTTTAGTTATCATCTATGTGGTTTGTATTTTTTGTTGTTTTAGTCTTCATGGTTTGTAATTTATTAACATTTTATCGGTAAAATCTATTAAAAATGCTCCACTCAATTTAGGGGTATTTTAGTCTCCTTTTTTTGTTTTATTAAATATCTTTTTCGGAATTTTAATTCTTTTAATTTAATAAATCTATATATTTTTTGATAAAAAAATAATTTCTTATTGTTTAAGATAAAATAATAAATATTTTTCAAACAATTCTGTAACACCCAAAATTTTTGGACTTTATGTTCCATATGTATTTCGTATGATATTTAGAGATTAAAATATACTTTTATTAAGTTATATCGTTGGAAGATGTTATGGGCTGAATTTTATGATAGGATATAGAAGTCATTTAGAAGTCAAATTTGTGGTTAAAGCAGGTTATAATGCGGTTAAATGTCTTGAAACCCGCTTTAGAATATGTTTGCAGGAATTTTTTGACACTGGAGACTTTTTACGCAGGTGAATGGACTTGAAACCCAGTTTAGGGTATGTTTTTAAATTTTTTGAACAACGCGACTTTCCATGTGGGTGAAAGAGCTTGAAAGCCACTTTAACGCACATATCAGTTTTAAAGGGGTGGTTTTAGGGGGGTTTGACCCCATTTCTTTTCCTCTCTCAACGACTTGTACTTGAACGATGTTAATAACAAAAAGCGAACTAATACTAAAACGATAATTACCAAAAATACATTTAGTAAACAAAAAAAAATCGAACCATAGGAGTGAAAATCGTAATTTCAAAACCGTAAGAACAAAAACTGCGGTCTTTCTCAAATCACAAAGACAAAAATCGAGTTTACTTAAATATTATTTATCTATTTAAAATATTTATCCAAGTTTGGTTCACTCTCCTTTTCTCAATTTCAACACGAAAAAAAAATATCTAAAATCGTCAAAATTCCTATTTTAATATACTATAAGGTATTTGCACAATACAACAAGATACATTTCGATTTTAATTTTTTTTCCTCAGTCGATGTTATAATACAGGTTAATATGGTTTTAATAAAACAATAATGTTTTTATTTTTGAATAAAATATAAATATAAATATATCATAAAAAATTGAAACACAAGATATTGATATTAGTACCAAACTAACTATTTAATTTATTTATTTTTTTGTATATTTCTCTAATTCATTTTTTTATGTTTGGTTTAATAATAATGTTTTTATAAAGATAATAATCAAGTATTTTGTTAGATTTAAACTATTATTCTAATTATATTTTAGATTTTTTATATTTAAAATAAGATATTCATCATCTATTTGATTATGTTTTTTTGCCACTGGGCATTTGGTAAAAAAAACCCTCACTCTTTCAATTGGGACTACTATGGTTTTAATTTGATGCAACGAATGCAGTTTGTCTTCTAACAGCCTTAATCTTCTGATATTCAATTTTGGTACTGTTTTTTTTTTCTTTTCAAATCAAGTGTTGCATGAACAATGGATTGCATAGTTTCAAACGAGTTTTGGTTAAACCTAGATGCTAGCAAGTCAACGGTTTTAAATGCAAACTTGAATGTCAATAATTTTCAAAACACATCTCAAAATCTCATATCAGACATATTATTCATCAATAGCATGTGCATTTACAAATCACACTTAACTCAGTTGACCATGCAAGTGGTGGTGTTTTAAATTATAAACTTAGATGTCCCACTTGTAATTTTTTACGATCTCAACTCGACATATCCACTTATATGCTCTTACAACAATTGGACACAACCAGGAACAGACCCAGAGGGGTGGCACCTGCTACCGTATTGTTCCTTCGTGGTTTGGTAAAAAAAATTAGGTTCATGAAAGATGCAACCGTTTTGTTTTAGAAGATGCAACCGTTTTATATGGTGTCACCGTATCCAAAAATTATTGGGTCCGTCCCTGGACACAACCCTGGGATGTTCACATATAGGACTTGCAGTTAGGGGCTATCTTTTTTTTGTTTTTATAAATAATATAATTTTTTTATTCACACAAAATTTGTTATTGTTTCAATCCTTGTTATTTACAATTCTTTACTATTTTGATTCCTTGCACTTAAAAATGTAAAAATTAGTTCAGGTTCAAAAATCATAATTTCTAAACCATATGGACTAGAAATGTAATTTCCTTTAAAAAAAATCAAGAACACAACGTTAATGTTTTTTAATTTGAGACAACGACAAAACTACCCCTCAAGTTTTACTTTACCAATTTCTGCCCCCAATTAGTTACCTTTATTGGGTTATCACAAGTCAACAGCAATCGTGTGAAAGGATAGTGCCTCCATTTGGTCTCACTAAATAAAAGGAAAATTAAATCAATTAACTTTATATTGAAGTATCTACACAAAAGGGTGTCACGTTTTAAGTGAGGTGAGATTTCAAAATTAATCGAATTATTAAAATATTTTATTATTTATAAAAAATACATAAAATTAGTTTAATTTTATTGTCTGAAATGAATAAATAAATTATTCAAAAACGAATCATAAACCTAAAGTTCTCTCTTTATTTATGTATTTTAAATAACATATTTAATTAAGATATAAAACAA